TTTGGTGTAATCGCGCTACCAGTTGTCGCAGGTCGCTTCAGCAGGCGACTTGAAGGCAATGCTGTGGCAAGCACTTCCCTCTCATCACTGCCCGTGTTCGATCTCCGTAAAGGTGAGCTCGTAGCTGATGCTGGAGCCGTCTGCTCGTTGTTTCTCCTCCGTCTGAGCTTCTGAGGTCTGAAGTGGTGGGCTGCAAGCCACTGTGTTGTCGTAGCTTCCAGTAGATCAATCATGGCTTTCAGCGAAGCTTCACTCGCTGACTCGGCGACAACATGATGACTCCGTCTATCCTTGAGCCGCAGCTGTAGCACAAACATTGGCCACCGATCGACACCCTTCCTTCCCTGAAGTTGCTTCTGCGTGTAACCGTCGTTCTTGTAACGCCGGTCATGCTTCCGTCGCAGCTTCTCAGCCTCGTCGGCGTGGTCATCGTCATCGATCGAACCGAAGCTACTGTTCGCCACGACACGATTGATAGCGTCGTACAGATCGTGCTGTCCAGTGCCGCTGGCGCATGGGTATATGCCGATGCTGAGGAACTGGCAGTGCTTGTTAGGGGCTGGCACAAGACACATAGCGCCTTTGACAGACATGTCTGCCGCATCTGCTGACACAGGCACCCAATTATGACGAGATTCTTGGGTTGAGAGTCCAGCCTGACACAGCATAGAGAGACCGTCCCTGACGTCGCGCTTCATCGCTTTGCCTTCAAGAACATTCAGTGTCTCCTCTGTCAGTGCTGCGTCAACAGCTGTACGTCCAAAAGAAGCTGTTCTTGACGTATCGTTTACATCGCTCAGCCTGACCGCACATGATTTCGGCCAGGCTAGCAGTAAGGCAGCAATGCCACGTTTCAATTCCAGCCACGCTCGCTCGGTCTCTGAGTTACTTGCTTCTGTTGTTGCACGCTGCTTCACCCGGACTGGCATGTTGCCGAACAAATCACGAACAGTGACACGGGTCCCCAATAACGTTGTAAGCTCGTGAGACTGTGGCGCCGGGACATGTCGAGCAACAACATTGCCGTGGTGCAGCACAATTGTGGCATGGTGGTGATGATCTTCGTGCCGAGAGGTAATACTTAACAGCGAGAGAGCGGCCAAGGATGCGAGGTAGGTACCACTACGACCATGGAGCTCGCATTCTCTGTCCTTGCGGTCAAACTTTGAGGTGTGGTGCATGTGACCAAGCCCGCCATCCGCGTCGAACTCTGAGAGTGGAATTCCTGTGCCATTGTCCTCGAAACTGCAGCCACCGCGTCCAAAGTCGACAGTCACCTCCACTTTGCTGGCCCCAGCATCCAGACTATTCTCCAGCAGGGCAAGACATACGCCTTGTAACGTCGTGATTTGCTTGGAGGACGAGATCTGCGAAATTATGTCCTGAGGAAGTGGTAGTATCCGGGACATGGGCGAAAGAACAGTGGCTAAAAAGCCGGATTGGCGAAACGTCCCAATCAGTCAGTCGTATCACGGTGGCGGACGCCGCTTATGGCGATTGTGCCTCTGAGTGCTCGAATTGGACATCGAGGTGACGAAAACGCTCCAACAATCCGTCGATCGAGGTCAGAGTTCTCCTCAGCAGCAGTCTTTCGACGGTGGCATGACCATGTTGCTGTGTTTCGATGTGAAGTCGACTTTACTAGCGCCCCGGAACGGTGCCTTTCCGTTCCGACCGGCAGAACCTCGTGGCGGCCGGCGAGTTGGCCATGTGCGCTTCTGCCGTAGTGACGACGAGCTCTACAATGCATCAAAACGACCTCGCCGTCACCAAAGCCGCATCCATATCCGCCCTGATTGCGCAAATAAATCACTGCAACAAACTTTCACCTGCAGCATCTCGAATTAGCTCCACGTTGCAGCTGCTCGGCGAGCTGCAGGGACAGCACAGCTACAGCTCTGACGAGCGCTTTGCGCCTCAAGCAGGGACAAGGCTTCGCTTTGGTATCACAAGCAATCTTTCGCGAGCAAGCCTGGCGAGCGCCTGTAGCAAGCAACCGCAATGGCAGCTGAAGTAGCAGCCCGACCACAAGGCAAGTCCGCGCTGCAGCAGAGCATGGCTCCACGATTCTGGAGCTTTCCCGAAAGTCAACGTGCTAATTCATTCTCCGCGACAACAGAGCGCCCGTCGAAGAAGAAGCCGTTTGCAGCCTGGGTCAAGCGCATCACGAATCTGAAGGGCAATGACGACTCCGAGAGCGGCAAGAAGAAGCGCGCGGCGAAGCATAAGAAGAACAACACCCACGAAAGCGTCTTCCAGAATAACCCATACCCGGAGTCTGGACCACTTCAGCAGCGCATCGGATCGCCTGTAAGTAGCGCCAACGGCAATCTCACTCCGACTTCTCGACCGCACGACGATGCTGGGAGCTTCAATTCGGTCCTGGGCAACGGATACGATGATCGAGAAGGGCCATCTAATAACAACAAAAGCGGCGCACCGACGCTGGCAACCAAGCCAGGCACCATACACAGCGACGCCGGCCATAGCAAGGCGGCGACGACCACCACTCGCGAGGGTGCGCTGAGTGGGACAGATGGCGCTGGAGCTGGAAGCACGTTTAGTTCGCCTGCACCCAGCGAGCGCTCTCTCACCACCACCCTCACCACGATCCAGTCTCAGTCGACTGGTAATGTGCTGCAGAATGGCGCTTCGGGACATCACAACAACCACCACCACGGTAGCTTGAACAACCCAAACCCCGTCATGTTCAGTCATCAGTACCCGACATCGCCTGCGCCGTCTACATTGACCGCCTCAGCCATACCACGACACATTTCCGAAGCCATACCTAGTACATACTCTTCAGCGACAGCTAACAACCTCCTGTCCGACGACGCCAGCATTATGACGCTCGCCTCCTCTTCGAAGCGTAGGAGACGAAGCATGGACACGGACGCGTCTGTGCGTGCACTCCCGCCGAATTCACTTTGGGGTGGTAGTCGAGAGTCGCTGCCACTTAGCGTGCTGTCCGGTAATCTTGACATTGGCGCCAGCGGGCCATCTGGATTGTACTCAGCCTCGCAGAGCCGGCCATCGATCGGTGGTCTCGCTTCTGCAGAACGTGCGAGCATCTACAGCAGTCAAGGTGTCTCCGCACCTGCTCTGGCAAGCGAAAGGAATAGCTTCTACTCGCACAAGCCGGCGAAAGACTACTCAGATGGGAAGTCGTTGCGAAGTATAACTGGACTTGATGCACGATCTCAGTATGATGCACGGTCGATCAACGATGCCAAAAGTCAGCTCGGCGATGTGGCGAGTCTGAAGAACTATGAGGGTAGTGTCAAGAGTGGCGCGCTCGGTCATAGCAGGAATGACAGCTTACCTGGTAGCATTGGCAGCCCGCTTGCGAGCCCAGGTTTGAGGCATCCTAGTACGAGTGGCGCACTAAATCGGCGGAGCAGTGAGTGGCAGGAGCTGCAGGAGCGGGAGGCTGAGCGTGTGCATGGTCAGGAGGGAGATGAGAATCGTGAGCCTGGTCGGTCGCACAGAGATGATGCGGCGTGAAATAGTGGTGAAGCGTGGCGTTTGTTGGCTGTCAATATTGATCGGAAGGAAGGCTGCACCTGTGTAATGTTCATTGTATTGAGATACCCAAAGCTCAGAAGAAGAGCGGAGTACAGGAAGTCGTTCGTTGGGATATGAGAGGCAGATAGTTGAAGAGGCGTAAGACGTTCCTCAATACTTGACCGATCGGGAAAGACATAGATCAGGCCTGCTCGTCAACTTCATGCTCGATGTCCTTCACTCGCGGAACTCTGGTTAGCTGCAGGCCACAGAAATTGGCCACCTTCTCGATCTGTTGAACGATTAGCCTGCGGTGAAGTATGCACGCGCGAGGATAGCTCACGCATTGCTGGATCAGCTCGACATCATCGTGGCTGACCCCTATCCGCCTGGTCCCACGCAGATGCCATCCTGTCTCACGAGCGAGATTCTGGATCATGATGCCCGAGAGCACGACAAGTTCGGTGTCGATGCCGTCGAGAATGGTGTGATCAGAAAGGTAGAGGCCGTAGGTGATTTCGACCGAAATCCAGCCTGAGGTGGTTGGTCAACGTCACTTCATCAATCTGAACGTCACTCGCTGACTTACGTAGGTCTTTGTGGGCGGACATCATCTCTTGGGTCTTCTGATCGTTATGGCGATATATCTGGGCTAGCTGTTGATTCAGGGTACTCAGATTAAGCGTCAAAGAAATAAGGGAAGGTAGAATACCCAGTCTCTGCCGCGCTGCTGGTTGGCTTCGCCGGACTGCCAATGCTCACTACAATTAGACATCAGTCTTGGACCACTCGTACGGATTAGCTGAGAGACTACCGTGAGAAGGAATAGTCTTTGTCTTCTTCTCGCTCCACTTCTCCCATGCTGAACACCGCCTCCAGCGGCTTGGGTACGCCGACGACCGATACGAGCTTTACGAGGGCTTCTCGAAGTCTGCGCATCAAAGCGTGTCGTTGCTCGGGGGTTTGATATTGTGGTTTCGAGATCAGATAGAGGTACAACTCTTTGGTAAAGCCTGGATGGCCACCACCAGTGATTGCCGAAATCTGAGATGTCGTTAGTTTTGAGTGATTCGAATATGTGTTGACTTGACGTACAACTAGGATGTACCATCGTTCGTCGCCCAAGGCCTTCGTTGGAAAGTGTTGCTCGATGTCCTTGAACAGCTGGAGGGCTTCCTCCGTCGACGGATTCGTCGATGCCATCGGATGCGGAAAGGTTTAGTCTTCTGAGCGATCGATCGATGGTATCAACACAGCAACCGTTCCCTGACAGACTCTGCTCGTTGATCTATTGCTCAGGACAAAGGTTGGCCGGTGTGGTGGGTTGCCAGCCCCGCTAGTGTCATCCTGCCGGGTGGAGTGCTTACTGTCGGTTACTCCCCGGACCATTATAGTGTACTATATATACATCACCCGGCCTTGCTTCCTTCATCCAATAAGCAGTCGCTTTAGGTACGATTCATCGAGCCTCAAGTTCAGCTTGTTCAATTACTGACTCTCTTCCAGCTCACTTGGGAGAGCGCCAGACTGAAGTTCACTTCGGTTCTTAGCCATCTGTGCGGTATCTGGAGGTACTGTGTTCGATCCACAGAAGCGACACGTGACAGCGATGGTGACGTCGATCTTTTGCTCATGGTGGTGGTCCCATGGTGTTGGGGAGGTGTGGTGGTCGTTTGGGCGGCTAGCGAGCTTTTTGCACACCTTTTGGCCAAAGTCTTGGCATTGCACTCCATATTCCGTCGATTTGATGATAGGGAGGCTTAATCTTTGTCAATAGTTCAACACAGAAGCTTCTAATCACAGGATTACACTTTTATCGCTCTGGATCGACTTTGACATATATTGGCTGAGGAAGTGCAACTAAGGGTTGTAAACTGTTCAGACTATATTGCTGAAGTCGAGAACCATGGAATGGATCGTTTCTAATAGCTGTATACATGCATGGTGGTCGTGGTGGAGAGGGTGGTCGTGCGGGGCCCAAATATGAAATTGTGGCAAAAGTGGCAGGTGCGCCAACATTAAAGCTCGAGGTACTCTAAAAACACCTATAACATTGCCAATTGACTTGTGGACACAAGCAGAATGCTTTCCCATCATTCTCTGGCCTCAAGAGGTGACATTGATGCTGCAATTGCACTTCGGCTGATCACGCCCACCAATTCGTCGGATTATCACCAGCATTGGACGCCACGACTACCTGTCCTCGGATATTATCCATAACTTCGGCACGAACTCATCGCGCACGATGCTTGACACGACCTTCGTCCTACTTGGTCACATGTAATTGCGGAAGAGAGGATCAAGAGAAGACATGCTGCCGAGGGCTTCACAATGATCATACACACCCTCACAAGCCTCACCCTCACAGCACGTTCACCTAAGCATGCACAAGCTGCCTTGGTATCCGAGCCTCCCAACCTCGCAGTGGCAGACCGTCCCTGAGCAGTGTCATGCTATTGAATTGTCTTGCCCGCCAAGCCGCCACAATCGCCTCGTTCTGCAGCACAGCAGTTTAGGAAGAGTATTTGTGTACCCACATGGGTATTGAGACGGTATCTGAGATGGGTCCAGGCAGGCTAACACCCGGAGAGCGAGGATGGAAAAGGCAAAGAGGTTTCTCAGCAGGATCACGATCATGGATCAAGAAGCAAGAGTAGTACAACCGGCCGACACCTTCAAGCCCCATTTTTCTAAACTGAAGAGCCAGCCGGGGCAGGACCGCGATGGTGAGACTGGCACGAAGTCACCAGTTCTACTGCAGGCATAGTCAAGTACTTGAACTTGGTCGCCGCACAACGAGTAAATCCCGTCAAACCGGACCTATCGCAGATGCGAGTGTGATATGCTCTCGTCATGTCATGCACCAGCGTTATGGTTCGTATGCTGAGTATGTTGTGGAGCTGTGTGGAGACACGCCAAAGACCTAGTCGACAGTCGACAGCGTGGAAAGCAGGTTGCAGCATCGCCCTGATATTCGACACGGCGCTATCCTTGGCCACTTGTCAAGCCGAGCGCTATCTTGCAACTCTCGAATGCAGTTTCCCCGAAGATTTCTACCTAAAACTTCGTCTCTGTAGGCCGGCGAGCCTTACTTAATAGTATCCACGATCGATCGAATGAACAAAGTAGCATGCCAAACAAGAACGGCGAGACATCCGATAGCACAGCCAACGAGACCAAGTCAACAGAGCAGATTCTGGCGCAGGGTAAGTAGACTAATCCGACGTCCACAAACCGCCCTACATGGCACGGTCGTGGAAACTACTGTCGCAGCTGATCGCATACCTTGACGCACTCTTCGAGCATAGGTTGCAGTCGATCAAAGGTACCTCGACCTGTCAATATGGTCTGTCGGATCTTCGACATGGAAGCTTAACACATGCACGTTGCTGACACTTCTTGACCTTATTCCTCGTGCAGATTAATGTATTTACAGACTGTACAAGAACTCTCGGCTGCTACACTATACACAGACAATGAACGCCTGGCGCACCGTCGCCACCTCAGAAGTAACTTACATGCGCCATCACTGCTCTGAATCCATCCCGTCATGAATTTAGACATCACCGTCAGACCCCTCCTCGCTCGGCCAGATACTCGCTTCACTCGACACCGTGACATAGTCACCATGGCGACTCGATCTCCGCCCTGCCGACGTCTGCGCGAGTGGAGTGACCGGGTTAGTGGCGTGCACAGCGTTCGGATCTTGACTGCCACTAGGCGTGCCACTGTCCATGGTGTGAAGAGATGAGCGTCGATACGTCCCCATCCGACGGTGGGTCGCGTTGGCTCTGCTCTCCAAGATCATCTGGCGAGCAGCCGATCGCGGCGGATCTTGCTGGCCTTGCGGAGCGGTACTTCGAGCGCTCATCGGTCCCGGGGCCGCGGGAACGTGTGGCGCGTCCTCTTCCAGACTTTCCAAACTGCTTTCCGACTCGGCATAGTCGTTGCCTGAACCTTGCCTTGCTTGCATCCTTTCAGCTTCCAAGCGGTCCTGCAACTTATCAGCATCAATCACGACAACTTGAAGACCGCAACTGACCTGCAGCCACGCTGTACTCTTGTCAAAGCACAACCGTTCCGCTTGGAAGAGCGCAGTCGTACCAAATGCGATATCATTCTTCCAATTGCTCAGGCTGCCTTTCGCGATGGACACCTGGGTAGCGTAATACTGCACCTCGAAGAGTCTGCCACCTCTACCCTCGAACTTGCCCCTGTTGAACAGGGTGCGGAGCGCCTTAAGAAGACAATCGTCTATGGCCGTCCAGACAACAGCCATGTTGGCGGTCTCGTCCGGTCGAAAGGTGGGACGGAGTGGGCGTAGCTCGAACACGGCAATGATACGGACGAAAAGGTCAAGGACGAGCTTAGCGAAGCGGTCGGCGACGTACTCTTGCCGTGCGGCCTGGCGACGGTACCAGTATTTCATTGCTTTATCGCCCTTGCCAGTGCATGCCGACGACACCAAGAACTCAGTCGCCCGCTTCAAAACATCGTCAACATTGCGGCTAGCTTCGCCGAGCGCTGAGATCGAAGCTATGATAAGCTCGGCGTCTGCACGAATTCTGTGCGAGGGAGGGCGATTGGACAGCGAGGTGGTCGCGTCCCACTGGCCCTGTGCCTTAGTAAGAGCGGCCATGAAGGTGGAGCGGATCATGTGCTTGAAATTGGCCACCTCGAAATCGCCACCGCTGTCCTTTTCTTCCTTGGGATGCATAACAGGATCATCGTCCGGCAGACTGCCATATGCAGGTGGCAAAGTCTGCCTCTCTGCGTCCCGTGCCCTCTGTGAACGGTCTTCCATCTCGATCTGTCGCAAATCTTGGAGTTCTTCCTCGGCAGCAGACAACAGTGTCTGTTGGTGCTCGGCGTCTTGTAAGTACAAGTCTCGTTCCAGCTTCAGCCTGACAATTTGCTGGGCGTAGATGGCGACGTTGGCTTCCAGAACCTTAAATTCAGCAGCGTTCTTAGCCAAGTCCATCTCCAAATCCAACGATCGCCGCTTCGCGGTGTTGAGTAGGCAGCCCATTTTGCGGTACTTGTTGTCGCGGACCTCTAGCTGTTCAGAAAAGAGGGTGATCTGCAACATATGGTCCTGATGCGCTCTCAAGACACTCTGTTCGCTATTGTGCTTACATGCACTGAGTTGCGCTTTGAGCTGAGCGATCTGTGCGAGAGCAGCTTTCAAGCTGGCCTCTGTAGAAGTGAGAGGTTGTATGCTGGCGTTGAGAACAGGAGATCTGTTCACCGGCCCGTCCGAAGTGGCGCTTGGCTCGACTATCGAAGGGGTTCCGATGATTTTGTCTGATATGTTCGCATGAGTCCCATGCCGTGTAATTCTTCGTTTGACAGGCGATGAGTTCTGGTCGTTGGTATTACTCGACTTCCTTGCCGACCCATCTGTTCCTATGCGTACTCATGTCAGCTAGGTCTTCATGATATGTGAGGTCTCGGCACCCGAGATATGGCGAAGACTTTCTGCGACATACTGCTTATGCGCTCTTCTACGGCGGTGAGAGCTCGCCTCTTGCCCTTCTTAGTAGGCATGTATTCCGAGGCTTCGCTCTCCTCGCCGGCGTCCATATCAGCGTACGTTCGCTTATTAGTATGCTTTCTGGTGATATCGGCGGACATGGTCTCCTCTCGCGAGGATGAAGCGGGCGGCATAGCGAGCGGTGTGCTTCAAATGTTCTAGTGAATGTTTGATGTTGTTGTAGATTGACTTGCGATGGCAAGAAGGTTAGCGGCTTTGAGACGCGGATCTGACACGAAACAACACGGACCTCGAAGCACGCGAGACTTCAACCTCACCTCCTTCATCATCGTGCACTACACCTCGTTCCACTCCATCAAGCGCTGCCGGTCAGCCTACTGTGACTACCACAGCGTCGCACACGCTACGCAGTGCACACAGGCGACGAGACAGTAATCCTAAACTGCAAAGCCATCATGGACGCGCACCACCACTTTGACACAATCGATCTAGCTACCTTCAAGGCTGTCCTCGAGAACTATGCCGCAGCTGTTCCTGAATCTCTCGCTGCTTTGGAACAACAACGGGTCGTGACTATACCTGCAGCCGTGCATGCTCGCGATCCGCAACATCTGACCAAAGAGGAATTGACGTTACTGATGGACTGGAAGCTCGCTCATGGCAAATTCAGAGCTCAACTGCAGAAGCTCATACAGCAGAATGAAGGCGTGACCGTCAAATCTGCGACCATCGAGGCTTACCGAATGCCACTGGACTCGATTTCAGAAGTGCAGAAAGCAATGAGTACCCTCTCAACGCTGAGAGGTGTTGGTCCGGCTACTGCAAGCCTTTTGCTGAGTGTGAAGGACCAGGCCAACATTCCGTTCTTCTCCGATGAGCTCTACCGCTGGGCTTTGTGGAAGACCGGACCGAGTGGAGGCTGGTCACAGGAGATCAAGTACTCAGAGAAGTCGTATCTGGAACTATATCCGCGCGTTCAAGAGTTGCGGCAGCGCCTCAAAGGTGATGATGGCGAGCCGGTAAGCGTTCTGGAGATCGAGAAGGTAGCGTATGCACTTCGAGCCAAAGGTGGAGCAGCACGACCAAGGGCCAAAGCAAAGCCGAA